TCACAGTGCTGACTTGACACCCTTTTTGAACAGACCAGACGTTATTTCAGTACCGATACAGCCTCGACGCCCTCGTGGTCGTCCACATAAATTAGACTGACAGACCAGGATCAAGGTACTCGGGTACCGCTTATAACAGTAGCCAAGCCACATGCGGGATGTTCATGTACATAGCTTGGAGAGGGAGGGTGAACGCGGGAAGTCTCCCACCTTGCTGCTCCACGCATGGTGACTTCATCTGTGAGGGAGGGGAGGAACTCTTCCTTCGGCTCCGGTCGTGTCTCGCCGCCTGTGATCGAGCAGAGAGAAAAAAACATGGCGCGAGAACGCGCTTTGCCGGTGCGTTTTAGAGAATAACTTTTGTAGTAAAATTTGATATTGAATGTACAAGTGGCCATATTTACTATATGGAAAATGTTACTCTTTTCCATTATAATTTAACAAAATATTATGGTTCTATGAATGATAATGGAATCAATCAACACTAACATGAACATGTATCCTTTATTAATGTGCCCATGAAAGTGGCCATATTTTTCACCCTGTATGGAACAATTTACTATTCTATAATTTCAGCATACACTTTTATGGAAAATGAATTAAATCAATACCTAACGAATTAGAATATACGCTAATTGCATATTGTCCTCAGTCCAGTTACCCTGAATCTCTTTGCAATTGTACAGGGTCAAGAGCACGTCAAGCTTGACACTTAAGACTTAAATTCAACTCTATGTCGCTTGCGATAAGAACGGTCTAAAGTACAAAGTGTAAAGCTTGACGTGCTCTTGACTGTACCAATGACCTACAACAAATATAAAAAATTCAACACAAACATCTGCACTAGTTTTTACCAAACAGCCAAAAACTATGGCTTTTACACCAATCGAACTGCACTGAAATCGGACCATGCCTTACTACCTCAGACTTAAGCAGAGAGACACTGTAGCCTTAAACTTATATCATCCCTCTCTAGTTGTTAAAAACAACATATGCTAAGTTCCAGGAACCATAAGGTAAATTTGGCCAATATCAGGTGCAGGGTAATACGGCCAGTGGCTAGCCATACTATCAGACATTTCTTTTATTTTTGTTTAACTCACACTTTGAAAACCAGACAAACATTGGAAAAAAAACATAGAAAATCACACGCAAATGTCATCTACTTTTACTACACCAGCAAATCACGATAAATTAAACACCATAAAATCGATATAAACAGAAACATTCGACAAAACTTAATTAAATTTTTTTAATGGCGATCGGTCCTTCGGCTTTGACATTTTCGGGCGAATGGCGTATGCGCGGGAAAGGCGGCGTATAGGTCGCTGTTATGCGAACCCCATAACCGAACTACATGTTCGTTCGGTTTTGTACGCTACATATTTTTAGAGATATTGATATGTGGCCATATTAATCGGCTGACCATATTCGACTCAGGTACCTTAGTACAGATTCAGAAATGACATGGGCTCAAAACTTAATTTTTGGCCAAATAAATTTTGACGACCTCGGTAGTGTGACGGTTTACTATGTGGGCACTGGATGCGGAGGTCCCAAGTTTGATTCCCGGTGGGACCAATTTCGGAAATGAACTTCTCCAAATTGGTTCTTGTCTCTCATGAGTACCTATCAACTCATAGTACGGGGAAATCCTTAGTTTGAGACCAGGAAGTTGGTGTGGTTATTAGTATAGAGTTAAACAATGTTATTAACAAGATTCTTTTTTAAATCTCTTAGTTTTTAACCAAAAAGACAACATGAGAAGTTTTCAAGACAAGTACATTGTATTGTATATTTTCTATACATTTTGAAACACCATTAGCATTTATTTTACCATTAGCATTAGGTAAAAAATCTTTATTATTACAAATCTATCATACGTATTATTACGCATAAAACAACGAAGTATAAAAATTATTTTTCTCGTTTTCTCATGAAATTTTATTTTTACATATTTAATTTTACGGTATGTGGTTTATCTGATAAACATTTTAGTCCGCCTAGAACATGTTTTCGAGATTCCGTATCAAAATGTTTTTAGATATGTAGGCAATTAGCGGGTGGTAAAATGAATAGCCTGCATTTTTTACAGTAGATAACAATCATCTGACAGATCACGACGTTTCATTTGTTTCAACTCATATGGTCTCTATCAATAGCTTTTAAAGTAAACACGTATATAATGGAGCTATTTTAGCTGTGGACAAAAGTCATTAACAAGTAGTTAGTTGGTTCGATCGGTTAGAGTTAGAATCTTTTAACACGGGAGGTAGTGGGTCATTACCAGAAAATGATTACATGTAATGACGTTTTGATTTTATATTGCATTGTTATAATTATTAATACAAAGATCGAACACTCAGAAGAAATTCCTTCGATCCGGCCGGATTCGAACCGACGTCTTCTAGCTTACCGTGGCAGACGCTATACCAACTAAACCACGGAACGAACCAGCGGACCTCACGAATTTTTCTATGTGCTTGCATCGTATCTTTGTATTTGGTTTTTTCAACGACTTTTAGTCGTAGCGCCATCTATGAGAAATCTATGAAAGTTTTATTACCCAGTTAGATATGTATATTTACAGTTACCAGACCTGGCGAGAGATGTCGCTATTCACTGTATTTCAAATTTTTATTGAATTGATATTCAATAAAAATTTGTGAAATTATTCCACTAGTTTGTTATAATTATTAATACAAAGATCGAACACTCAGAAAAAATTCCTTCGATCCGGCCGGATTCGAACCGACGTCTTCTAGCTTACCGTACCAGACGCTATACCAACTAAGCCACGGAACGAACCAGCGGATCTCACGAATTTTTCTATGTGCTTGCGTCGTATCTTTGTATTTGGTTTTTCCAACGACTTTTTAGTCATAGCGCCATCTATGAGAAAAAGAGAAAAAAAAATATTTATATTGCATTTACAAGCTATGTTCTCCCATCTAGCGATCAACAGTTGAACGAAAACTAATTCGAGATGTTTATTTAGTTATTTAAAAGAGAAGCGACCGTATTGCAGCGGTATAAGATTTACTTTCATTTCTTGTAACAAAAATATATTACGATAAACAGAAAATTGAACATTTATTCAAATTAAATACAATCAGAAGTTTTGCGCAAAGTAATTGACGCGACCATAACGTACAAAGCGAGAGTGAAAGCGACCTCAAGTGTATGAAACTCCACGTGCTGTTGGCACACGTGACACGCTCACTAAGCACTAGTACTGTATTCTATTGTTCTGTGAGTTTGTAGGAATTAACATTCTTCCATCAGCGTTTTAGTACATTTGTGAAAATGTAATTTATGTTAAGAAGAATATAGTTTTTGTTAAGGAAAAATAGTGACAAACATTAATACGAGGAATTAACAAAAAATTTACTGTTCTTAACAATCGTCTTCACAAAGTCAAAAATTCATTTATGGGGCAAAGTGTATGCTTCTATAATATTCCAGTTGATATTCGTCATTTACGAGGTTTAAAATTATAGTGAAACAGAACTTCACACCGAAGATTTAGAGGGTTCAGTTTAGTGAAGAGCAACACCTAGAGTTTATACTCATTCTTCTCAGGGAAACCTGGGTTACGAATGAGTGGTAGAATTAAGTCAATGTGACGATTTCAATGGTAATTTCCTTACATATGAAATAAAAGATTATTTGAGTGTGAAACTTCGCCTACTTTGCGTGCTCCTATACATTCGGACTATAGATCCTAATCTGAAATTACCAACTGAATGTCCATGATGGTTGTTACTTGAACATGTTGTCGTGTTGCTACTACTATGGCTATACAGATGATTAAAAAAGATACTGTCTATTTTCCTTTGAATCACAATTTTATTTAAAAATTTAAAAAAATGTTATTGCTATTGAAATTTTTTCTATGATTCTAATTTTTCAATAACCAAGAGCAAGCGCATTCACAATGTATGTGTTATATTAGAATGTATTATAAATGTATTACAAGATGATTCATATACAAGTACTTAGCCGAAGGTGATGCGAGATTTAGAACGCTCAAAGACTCCATGAGGTGGATATCCTGCCCCCTGCCCACAGGTTGTGGGGCAAAAATAAACATCGTTTTTATTTTAATGAAACTTGACCCTGACAAGTTAAAAGCATTACAAGTGTATTTGATGTTATAAAAAGTAACAGTGCAGTACAATGATCTTATACACTCCACTGCTACATATAAGCCACCCCCTAAGCCCACCAACTCTCCCGGTCTTTCTTGGCCCACATCTTTCTCGCACCTTCCTCAGGTCACACATTAAACAATTTATTAAACAATTGCTGACTGGGTATGTAAATTTTTGATATTTTATTGTTATTATATATACTTACATAAGTTATAATACAGGGGCAAGAACAAATCAACTTTAACATTTAAGCTTTAAATTCAACTTTATGTAACTTGCGAAAAGAAAGATATGAGGAAATATATCGACTTTTTAAGTTTTCGCGATTGTTACACATAGGAAATGAACTTAGGTACTAAATATACTAGTCAGCCGTGACCTGTAAAGGACTTGAGAATTGGTTTGATTAAAAAACAAGTATATGAAAGTGCGTGATTTAAATCCGAAAGAATAGTTTAATTTATTATGAGAATATTTCAGTTCAACTATTTCATTTCAACTTATATAGTCGAGATGCGGTCACGTCACAGCTGTGCAGCCGTTAACAGCCTATCAAAATTTCGCAAGTGGTGCACAAATGGACACTCAACTATCGCAATGTGAAGCTTCGGTCCCACGTGGTTTTTAGAGCACTTCTAATCAACGTAATTGCTGCCGTGACGCAGTCTCAACCAAAACGATATTTTTGGAACACTTTGAGATGTCAAAAGTTATAACATTATTGTGGAAGATGTAGGTATTTTATATTTTTATTATAGACCAAGCTCGCTTAAAATAGTGCTTTTTTTAACATCCTATACAGTAGAAGTTATTATTCGATAGCAGGTACATTAGTCTATCACGCCCTCAAATCCGTAGAATGCTATCAGAAAATCAGTGAATGCAGACATAATGCGCCCTTCAAGAATCTTTGTCGTTAACAGTGTCAATACGTGATAGGAAACAGTGAAATGAAGAGTGCTATCGGCCGATGCCTGCAGCATTTCTTGAAGAATACTACGTTGCATGGTTTCAAATATATAATCTCCCCATATTATATAGATCGGTGAGTGTTCTCTGTCTACACTACATTTACAACAAGACATTCAGTTTTTAGATATTTCTTGGCATGATTCGTTCAGATAGAATGATTACACTACGGAGATCGACTTGAATTTCTTTTAGAATAAACTAGAACGGACTATTTATAGAATATTATAAACGTTATTTTCTATAATAATACTAAACAATTTAGGTCCTATAATATCTGAAAATAATTTCAGTTCTACTTATGAAGTAATATATGTAGGTGATAAAAATAATTGCTGTCAATTTTAGACGTCTCATGGTTTTTTCTAAAATTCTGAAATTGGATGACTCCGCTATTCGGCAGTTACACAAAGATGTGATGGTTTTTGCCACAAATTCCTACAAAAAATCCCCACTGGTGGGGATATTAATACTTTATAAAACTTTATTCCACAAATCCCCGCCGCGTAGCAAGTAGGTACTACGTTGGTTGGATAATGTTACAGCAACTCGATTGTGGGGCCGACCTATTTCCTCATTTTTTTTGGATTTATTTGCGATAAGAATATCCCAAATTACATTAAGTTGAATTTAAATCTTAAATGTTATTGGACCCAGTAGCCGCCTTTGTAAATACCGCGAAGTTGTGTGGTAGTCTCAATTTCCTAATAAACTTGAAAATAGGTACCTACTGTTATTATTTAAACATATTAAATCATGTTTAAGTAATTATGACCATCAACTTATGGTAAGTTACATATTCATTAGCAATTTAAAAATATCCAGTGTCCACATACCCCGTCTGAAATACCTTGATAATTGCTAAAAGTGTAATAGAGTGTAGTGTATAGGTAAACAGCTATACTATAACATGTTCCTGAGTTGTCCTATGAATACAGCAAATTTCTTTTTATAGTGTCAAGCACACTTACCTTAAGTTTTAACTCGTTATATCTTTGAGCTTCTTTAAAATAAACACAGCGTTTATTTTCGTCAAATGAACGAGGAGATATCAGAGAAAACTTGGATTCATCAAGCCTTGACGGGTAGACGGGGGATGCTCTACACCTCATAAAATCTGGGCTCGTAAAAGACTCACCATCTTCCATACATACATAATCATCATACGTTTTGGCCCGCTCGTGGCGTAACTTAGGTAATACGAGCGTAAACGGGCAAAAAAATAAGAAATTGGACGCGCGTTTTTCTAATATTTACAAACAATGTGCGTTGCAAGATTTATTATTAGTATTATTACTTTACATTAGCCATGCGGAAGAATGATAGAGAATTGTAACTATAAAAAATGTCTGTGTTTCTTTTGTTATTTGTATTAGGGGTTAAAGTATGAAATTGCCGTTTCGCACTGAAAAATTAAAACAATTTTTTTTAAGATTAAATATATTTGTTTAATCAAAGTTTTTTCCCTTGTTGTCTATACATTTCTGCCATGTAATCGGAAGGTCATTTAAACCTTTGCGATAGAACTCTGGAGACCTGGACTCCACAGCTGTGTGAAGGGATTTTTGTACTGCTTCCTGGGAATTTTATTTCCATACAAAAAAAATCAAATTGCGGGAAAAAATGGTAGTCGGTCGGGGCGAGGTCCGACGAATATGTAGGATGATGGATAATTTATATCTGCAGGTCTTGTAGTAGTAAAACTGTTTCTCAAGCAGTGTGAGGTGTTGCGTTATCAATTTATCATAGAGCAATAACGGTGAAGCTGTTTTGCTGCGAGTTCCGTCGTCATTATTCAAACGCCATATGTCATATTGTGGGTATGCTAACATTAAACCATGACGTTTCGTGGTAGTTTGATACGGATCGCCTTCGATCATTACCTTCAATTCAACGTTATTTACATTTGTGACTGGTCTTCCTCGTGGTTCTTTCTTCAAGTCGTAATTTGCCGTATTGCCGGCGTTTGCCGTATTTGCGTATGCCCTATCCTCTCCAAATACAGCATTGACAGTTTCTGCTACGTTAACTCCATGTGAAAATTCGTATTCGAAAATTAGGTACTCAGATTTTCGCTGTATCTGTCTTCATGTTAAAAGCTGAATGTAAAAACAATTGAAAGTCGAACAATCAAATATCATGTTTTTTAAGTTAAGCATGTTTTACTTTTCGTGTGAAAAACGTTTCACTCTGAAATCGGACACCATACAGGTTTAATTTTAATTTAAAGTGGCCAGTAAAATAAATCGGCAATTTCATATTTAAACCCCTATTATATAAAAAAGTAGATGAGTTTTTTCATACTCAATTGACATTTTTCACGCAATACCCCAGCATAGTTTGGATCATGTGGTGCATCGTAAGCGCAAGCTGCGCAGGCGCACTGTTCGCAGTTTTGTGGGCGCGTTTTCTTCAAGTGCCGGCTCTGCTTACCCTCCAAGCTCAGGATCTAGTTCAACCAATGCCCTTGGTTGGCATCTGCTTGACTCCTCATACTACCGCTAATGTTATCGCCCAAAGTCTGTAAGTTGTTACATTATACTTACTCGCCATCCCCGGAGAACAAAAAGATAACTGCCATTATCACAGTTTTAGTGTTATATCATATTTAAGATCTTTAGGATCTTTATACATCTTTTCAATTTATTTTCGTGATTTTTAAGCAGTTACTTACGGAATAACAAAATAATACACATTCCCTACCCATGCCCAAGTGCACAAGAATAAGGTTATATGATAATATTAAACTTAATGAGTTACGTTTCTTAATATGACAAATGACAATAGTATTTTATTCTCATTTCAAACTGTTCGGGCTGTTCGTATAATAAAGCAAAATAAAGCAAAAGTTGATTGTCATACACAACGAGAATAAAATGATAATCCACAACATTGACTTACAATTATATGGACGTCGGGTCCGCGCTAAAAAGTGTCCACACTTGTAAGGCGCTAAAATCGTATACAGAGCGCGACACTCCGCTTTAGTCTTCATTTGTTCTACTGACAGCGCGATACTGCGATGACATTACAATTTAAATTTCGAATAGGTTGACTTGGGACATTTTTTTCGTGGTTTTTGTATTAGACCCGTCGTCCATTTATTTGTAAGTCAATGATCCACAATATAAATCTGACATGATGATTGACTTTGACTATTTATTTGTTATTGAAATATCTCCATTTTGGCTTAAATTACGGCTGTTTCATTTATAATTTAGAATGCACAAAAAATATTATTTCCTTAAAGCTAACTATTAATCTACCTACGTTCAGTATTTAATAACTTATCAATGAAAACATGTTTTTTATTTTTCCGGAAATATTACTTTGTTGCGATTATCATTTTGTACTCCGGGGATGGCGACTTCTACACTATACTAAGTATGAGCTACATACATAGGTAATAGAGCTATTTTTTCGCTTTCATTTCTTTTTCAGAACCGCCAATACTTCAGCATTGTGGTTAACAAACAATACAGACCTAGTCGCATTTATAATACAAAAATTACTAGAAAAAAAAATTACATCAAAAGGAAATTTGCTTATATTAGAAAATTTGTTAATATCTCACAATATGACATTCTCGGAGGCAATAATGACCCACACGCCAATGTGCAATGAGCTAATGTTGAGATGTCGACTACAAGATAATATGCTGCCGTGTAGTCACCTGTTTCAGAAACAACTCATCGCCTGGGCTGGGGCATGTTGTGTTATGTCCTCAAAAACGTAAGTTTGTCTTATCTTTATATCTGTTCTATTTATTTTCAATATTAATACATTGGTCAGTAAAGTGTACCTTGTTTAATATTTAATTGAGTGTCTGCTATTTCAGAGGCACGGAAATAACAAAAACCACGTCACGGTCAAAAATATCGCTTAATACGATATTAGATGTGGTGTTGAAAAACGTCCATGGGAATGATAGTTATTATTACCAGGTGAGTTTAGGTAATTATTTATTTGCAAGTGTGCAGATTGTTAAACCCTCTAACAAACATCTGGAACAAATCATAAGACCTGAAACTTTTCTGACACGCTTGGCTTATCTTTATGAGACAATGGTGACCCACCCTGCAGGGGAAAGTATCTATATTAATCGAAACAGATATTTACTGACATAGTGTTAAGTTAAAGTATTTATTGTAACCATAGCCATGGGTACATAATCATGTTAAATGTGAATTACTGAGGCAACCATGCACGAACGACCTGATAATCTCTGCCTAATTGTTATTGTTTTTAAAAAGAGTTTTGTTTACGAAATCAAACCCATTACGTGTGAGCTGCGGAAACAGCCAACATCATTAAAAGAACACCGCAATGTGCATTAAAACATATATTCTATAGTTCTTCTCGAAGTACTCCAGCGAAGACGCCAGCGCCGTGTCAACGCACCCCATCGACAGAGGCCGCTACTACATCGCACAGCTAAAGTTCACTTCCGTGCAGGACAAAGACGCGGACAGACTCGTCACAGGGTCTTGTGTCGCTGACCAGGGATATTCTAGGACAAAATGTCAGGTAACTAATGGAATTGGTTAATCGGTGCTAAATATAGTACCTAAAACTTATCTGTATCAATAATATTTTATTTTTGTCGGACAATCTAATTTAGTAACACCGGTTTCTCCATACATAACGTCTGAAAATTTTATCCGAAAATGCAAGTTGCCATCGCCGAATTCCTTGCCATACTAAATATTGCCTACTGACCTACTGCTAATACTGCTATTTGACTCCTGTGAAATAACGACCATGTTCCGTATCGTTTAAATTCTACGAATTTGTATGGCGTGGCGTGGACAGTGAGGTCGAGATATAAGTTTAATTATGCTGGGTTTCCACGGTCCGTGATTTCAAGAGCCGCGCCGCGCCGATTTTTACAGGCAAGCTCGCCCCACAGGCGAGTTCAGGCGTCCTTGGGCCGACACGCAGGGTGGCGTCTGGAGTGTGGCGAGAGCTCTAATGGGTTTGAGCTGCCATTCGAAAATATCATGTGAAGAAAAGCATAACTATTTTTGCAGCCACTTATATATTGTGCAGTGGACATAACTTACTTAACAAAAAGAACCACAAGAAAAACCGCCAGTGGGTGTTATCATTCAACAAAAACAGGTCGGGATAAGTACTTGAATTGGACATACGCTTTATAGATTCATACTAATCATTCAAATTAACGCTGTCAAATAAGGAATAATCGCCAAACACCGATTTACCAACACATCGCGGATCACAGGCGGATCTCGTGGGCTCGCACAGGCGATCTCGCGCGCGCTCGAACGGCCCTCTTCCCGCGGTGTGGGGCGCGAGGTCACCGTGCCGATGCATGACCGGCCGCCTTCATAAAACGTTTGAAATTTATTCCCGGTTTTCTTGTTATTTGCTATAATTTAGCGCAGTGGAATTGAAATGTACTTATGTAATAAATTAGAAATATAGATACTGTTTTTGTTACGCCTCAAAGTAGGTTACGTAGAATTAATAAATGTTTTTGCATTTTTATGGATTTGTATTTAATTACAACTTTTAATAAAAGCTTTGTAGCTAAATATTTTGGCCGTCCTGAATAGCAGTCAAAACAGTTATACCTTTCTTTGTCACGAGGCGAGCGAATTTGGTTTTCAATAAACAATTCATGTTACAAATAAATTTTAATGATATAATGTTGTTTGTAGATGAACTGCCGTGAACAAGTGTGCGGCTGCTCCGACCCTATGCACACGGAGCAGTCCATAAATGACGGCTTACCTACCTGCAGTGTTACCCAAATGCCATGTCATGCCACTGTCAAACTAGGTCCGCATCAAGGCAACGAATTTTACTTCTTATACTATTTAATATAAGAATGGAAGAAAACGTGACGTAACGTGATGACTCGATCTGTATCTCAGTTGGTAAGAATGGTCGCCCCGTTGTGGCAACAGACGCTGGTTCGAGTCTATTCAGATTGAAGGATTTTTCTTTGTTGATCTCGATCTTTGTATCAATAATAATAACAAACTAGTGGAGCCTATCCATAAAATGCATAAATGTTAGTGTAGTAAACATTTTATTATATTCAACTAGATAAATAGTGGTAACTGCATGTTCAGTCTACCAAGTCTATCTGAATATGAACACCGCCCACGTACCGTACCCTACAGAGTATGACAAGCGCCAAAAAAAACGTTTTTTACACTCTCCCAATGTACATAATATTATTATAATAAATTTTTATATTAATGAAATGATAGCAAATTGCGACCATATTGCGACGGTCACACATTTATTACGTAGCGGTGGCTCACTACCTTCTGTCTTGTCATTGTAGCATGCTATCGCGTGTCATCGCGCGAGTCATCATATTATGGTGTGTAATCGCTTACTTACAAATACGTGACAAGCAATAATCAGGCGGTATATAGGCTGATACTTACAAAACTACCTTTGACTTCAGCTAAATTTCTTGCTTAAATTGAGGCAAATTTCGTTAAGAAAAGCTTGCTTGGTTTGCCATTTTTGCTTAGTCGAAGACAAAGTTCGTTTTGTAAACCCTAGGCTCCCAGCCCTAGATGTGTTCAAGATGCACTATATATGTATAAATAACACATGTCGCACCTTTACAGTGAAAGTGACCCAATACAAAATTTCTACTTACCGGGAATAATACGCAATTAAGATTTAAAGTTGTGACATTTTCATTATATTTCATTTATTAGGTACTCTTGAAGTACTAAAGTTTGAGTCTTATAAAATAATGATGAAACATTCAGCTTTACAATTATTTTAATATTTAACAATTTAAAAATAGAATTTACGAAAACTAGTCGCCGGTCACTTTTTAACTTTGCTTTTTTGTTATCATTTGACGTACATATTAAGAATAAAATCTCCTTAATTTTAACCAGCTAAACAACGCGTTATGGCCTTATCAAGATTAAATTATCGTTTTAATTGTAAAAGAAAGTCCTTAAAGTAAGGACTCGCGTTTGTAAAAATTTAATGATTTTTTTAATGACGATTTACGGAACGAAAATGGCTTAATTGCTATCTCGTCACTTTTTGTGTGAGTGGCGGCATTGATATTCTGACGCGGGAGTGGCATTTTGAAATTGAAAGAACAAAATGAGACAGTTCCATTTATTGAATCATTGCTATTCGACCTTTAATAGGTCAGTTTCAGATTAACAACCTTGTGAACAATGATTTTTAAAGTTGTTTTACGGTGTAAACTCATTTTATTATTTTTTTAATTGGGTCACTTTCATTGTAAAGGTGCAATGTAGTTTACGCTGATCTGATAATAGTTCTATTTTAAATCGGCTTCAACTTGAATAATTTACAGGCCAGGACATGTGCGACTGCAAGCCTGCGTGCAAATTCGTTTCATCGAATATAGCGTTGCGGGCACTGGCGTTACGGGATACGAAATATACTTTTGACTCCTTATTGTGCGTATCATTTCTCTAAAGTTTAATCTAAGGATAATCGTGACAAATTAAAACAAATTGCCGTCCGGGCGCTAGACATTATATTTGTAATGTTGAGTCTCGTAATTTTAGCTACAAGTCATTCACATTTATGAATATTTTAGAAAAATATAATTATAGACTTCTAAGATTATAGAGTTATGTTTATATTGTAGTGCGGACGTGAACTACTCGGCGTCTGTGGTGCTGAGTCTGCGTGTCACGATTGGTCAATCCAAGATCTTCAATCGCATGTCCACTGAAACCTGGTTCACTTTGCTTTGTTGGTTGCATTTTACTGTATATATAAAGAATTTAATGTTTTGACATTTAACCGTTACATTAATATTTGGTATTAAACTAGAGAATTCCTTATACTTCCCATGGTCATCAAAGTAAGAAAGGCCTGTAATAAATAATTAATTTTAAAACATTTTACAACCTTAGTGGCCCGACGATTTGTAGTAGGTACCTATATTCATATTTTATCAGTCTCGTAAACTAATTATCACAATAAAATAATCATCTGAATAAACTAAGATTTTTCCAGTACTTACTCGTATTTGAAATATTCGAATTATCCGAATACGCAAAGCAATCGTATTCAGATTGTAGAGGTTATTCTAGAGTCACTGATAATTGATAAGAATGATAATAATCTATATTATTTAATCATGATTGTTATAAAGGTGATAGCCGATGGTAATTAAAACAGCCAACTCTGCTGAGTGTGTGACGATCAGAAAATTTATTGTGAAAGAAGATATGATAAATAACAGAGACATATGATAACACATTTGCCAGATATCCGTATAATTCGAACATGTCCAGATTGTAAACCTTAATTAGAATATATTTTATTGTGATGATGATTATTGATCTAAAGTGAGGAACATGACAACAATAGTCCCCTTTTGTTTTGCAATGTTACAGGTACGTTGGTGGCGTCGTATAATATGTTGATTTTCCTTTCTAGCATCGTTGGGTGGCGTTTTCAGCATGTTCCTAGGCGTGGGCCTATTCAGCGCACTGGAACTATTCTTTTTTTTAATTGTCAGACTGCCTCTATCTATTCGAAGATCATTAAAAATGGACAACTCTGTTATAATTCTACATGCTAAGTAGTATTAATCTTATCTAGTATAATGTCACATTAGTGTGTTAAAGTAAAGTTTTTGAGTGAATTATCTTTCCTTGTTGCATTCTATCGTTTGTCTAGAAATCTATGTTCGGCAAAGCATTCAACTCCATGACAATTAACACAACTACAGTTATAAAGTCACCAAACCACTATTTGAAATGTATCGGAAAACTGCCCAACACTAGTACTATCTTTTTTTTTTGTAATGCCATCTATTTTTTATTTCATATTTTAATAGCCAACTAGAAAGTGGCGCTACTGTAAAAAAAAATCAGCGGCTAGTTTAGAAAAATGGCAGAACAGTGAGACCACATTACTTTTTTCCAATACAAAATAATATATTATTCTAGGACAAAATGTTGTTTTCGTCGGGGTAAATACAAATTATCATTACAAAGGCTATGTTTTATAAAGTCTAGCATCTATTAATACAAATAAAGGCATAAATATTTTTTTGGTTTTATGAAATCTTAGGGTCGTATTCCAGAACTCTACTCAATGCTCAAGTCAGAACTTGAGTATGATTTCAAGCACTAGAAATCATACTCAAGTCCTGACTAGAGCAGTAATTAGAGTTCTGGAAGACGACCATTAATATCGGATATCTACGCGAGCCTAATATTGGAATCTGATATTAGGATACTTTTTAAATGAGAACTTCAAAGCTTTTCATTATTTAATATATTTTTTATGTTCTATAAAAAAAAAATCTAATATTTATATTATAAGTTGAAAATAGATTTTTTTATATTTGAGTTTTTTTGAGAATTTTAAAGTTCCTTTATGATCTTTAATAGATATAAGTTATTTTTTTAAGTTTAAGTCTTGCTCCGACCCTCGATTCCATATTTGCAAAACACAAATTTGTACCTTAATAATTGGAAAATATAGATGAATATGCTATAGACGAAAAACATGACGCGTCGCGACGCTTCGACTCTGCCGCAGTGTGAGTTGAGCCTATGTGTGAGACAAGTTTGAAATTCCGAAACGGAATTCCGATGGTATATGGTCAATTTCACATAGGATGGTACTGTCCAGTGTTGCCAGACTTTTGAGAAGTTAAAACCCCCAAATGAGTTATTTTACAACTCCCCACAGAATCCCGAACCAAATTTGTAATTCCCCAGACATTGACTGCCTCTGTGGCCGAACGGTTACCATGCCGCCACGCAGAGGTCCCAGGTTCGATTCCCGGGTCGGGAGAAATATTTATATGGCCTACATTTATTTCTCTCGTGAGTTTGGGTGTAATTTGTGGTTGTCTATGTGTGTGTCCATAGCACCCACGACACAGGGTTTCCCTAGTGCGGGGCTATGTTGAGTGTGTGCGTTATTATTATTATTATTATTTTATTAAGTACCCTAAAATTGCCTTTTCCTATTTCAAACACAGCCTAAATATCGACGAGTCGCCGATCAGCCGCGCGACCCCTCGAAGTAGCATAAATAGCGATAAATCGCCTAATGTGGCGCCACTGGTACTGTCACATTTCCAATTTTTACATTACACGCATATTATTTTTGTTTAATCTCTCAACGGTTTCAAAATGAAAGTTTTGTTACAATGTACTAAAAACAAACAATAATTGTTGCAGTTGTAATTTTAAGTAAAAATTACAATATATTACCATAGACAGAACATTATAAATAAAAATAATTTACCCCAATTACTTGATGCGTAAAATGGAATATTTATCGGTAGAGATTTGCACGATAAAATCGATAAACTGAATCGGCAGTCATATATCTCGCGTCAGTATGAGTGAATACTCCTTGTATGCTGGTAAGTTTCTTTTGTTTTGAACGTTGCGTGAAGTTTTTGGAGTAATCGTTCAAATTTCGTTTCGATGCTTGATTATGTTTTATTGCCACCTTTTTGTTTGGATGTTTTGTTATTCATTTTTTTATTTGTTGTGTAGTTTTTTAGTAACTTAACAACGCAATAATTGAATCTTTACATTTTGTATAATATTTGTTCTTGAATAATTGTCTCCAAATCAATTCAATCTTCGTTACAAATCATCTCGATATTTAAATCGATTTTTTTCATTCGACTTCGCTACACCTATAAAAACTTTAAGGGTCGTATTCCAGAATTCTACTCAATGCTCAAGAAAGGACTTGAGTATGATTTAAAGCATTCAAAATCATACTCAAGTCCTTGCCATTAGGGTCGTATTTCCAGTGCTTGAAATCATACTCAAGTCTGCTCAAGTCCTGACTTGAGCATTGTATACTATTGTGACATACCCATCTGTTACTGTATGTGGAAATTCAAACTAATATTAATTCGCTTTGGACCTTTTGGAGGGTGTCGTTTTTATTTTGACTTTCAATTATTTTGTAAAATCTAGTTAAAGTGGAATAGGATAGTGCTATTGTGCCCTAATCGAAGATTAAAACGCGAAATTATACGAATCTCGAACTAAAATACCCGTTTCGGCCCATTTTAAGGAATCCAGAGTCAATCCAAGCACGCTCCGCCTCAAATAGCCTATCCTCTTTTTGGTGACCATATTTACAGAAACATAATTAAACAAAGATATGGCTCAAAGGACTTATATCCAAGTCAAAATTATTTAAAAAAAACTAATATTTAAAAAAAGTAGTCTGGAAATCAGAGCGCCCCGACATGGTCTATGTAATGGGTAATGTTATGAGTAATGCATATTTTTCCGAAGTGATGCGTGATATCACAGTACCCTGTCGCGTGATATCACCTTTGTAATATTACTCACATTACTTACACATGTCTAGGAAATAATAATAATAACACACACGTGGTGTATATTTGGAGTTTTATTAATGTTTAATCAAGAATATTAGTAAAATTCAATAAAATGTCGTCGTGGAGGAAGGCCGCGAAGGCCAATCAAAAGACTCATAAGGAGAGACATCAACCTGAGTCGAGGAAACACTTGGGGCTCCTGGAAAAGAAGAAAGACTACAAAAAACGTGCAGAAGATTACCATGAGAAGGGCGAGACACTTAAGTTGCTGCGTAAGAGAACGCTGGACAAAAATCCTGATGAATTTTACTTTCATATGATCAATTCTCGAGTGAAAGATGGGGTAAGAAAATAACCTCTACATGGAAACCCAAACAATTAACAATAATTTTCTTATTTCGTGTTGCTTGCATATTCTCCTCGTTAAATAATATTTCTAGTATAAAAGACCGTTTACATGGGGCCAATCGACAATCCATATTCCATTATGCTAAGCCATTGTGTAAATGGAGACAATCCATTATGGAGTGTCTCAAGACCAGCGATAAAGACATTCCATTAAATTAGAACGATCTCTAATTTTTTGGGCCTACTAGTACCCCGCCATGCATGCATTGAATTGGCTCATGTAATGGTCTTGTGTGGACATGCGTCCTCTGAGCCTTTCCATTGCCTTGCCGTTTAGTAATGAACCTAGAAGAAACTGACTGTAATACTGGCTCACATGTAGATAGATGTTGTGAATTTCGCATATTTCACTAGACTGGCCAAGTGTAAGTGGGCCATATACACATATTGTTATTATTATTAGGGTGGCTTAATTCGGGGACTATGCTGCCCCTCATCACTGCGACTATCAACCTGATATATTGTGATCATCACTAGGTAGGTAACCTACCTATTGTGTGTGTGTGTGTGTGTGTTATGTCTACCTTAGTACCTACTAAAGTAGACATAACCTTTCTTTATATATTTTTATTGTCTTTTAAAGACAGGACTCTTTCGCACAAAATAAAAACAACACAACTTGTCATTATGAGGACTCATTATGTAAGTAGTTTCAACAAAGAACACGAAAACTTAAATCAAATTCAAAACAATTTACAGACAACCTACGTAGAAGATGTGACAGCATAAAGGTTTTCCGAAAGGTTTTCTTCATTTCCAGCCACTTTCAAAAATGTTTATTCATGTTTATTAGGTGCATCATGAAGTGGAAAAAGAAGATGAGCATTCTCCTGATCAGATCAAGCTGATGCAAACTCAGGACATCAAATATATAAATATGAAAAGGACTATTGAAAGTAGGCGAATTAACAGGCTTCAGGTAAGTGTCAGAGCTAACAATTTAAGAAATATTTTATGTGTGTATAAATATTTTTATAAAAGACCTATTTTTTTTTTTTTTTTTTTTTTTATAATAACGCACACTCAACATAGCCCCGCACTAGGGAAACCCTGTGTCGCGGGTGCCATGGACATACACAACCACAAATTACACCCAAACTCACGAGAGAAATAAATGTAGGTCATACAAATATTTCTCCCGGCCCGGGAATCGAACCTGGGACCTCTGCGTGGCAGTCCGGCGTGGTAACCGTTCGGCCACCGAGGCAGTTAAAGTTTATAATCCGGCCGGACACCAAATGTTAAAAACTGGGAAAAATTCATAATCAGTATGCGAAATAAATTGATCTATTGATTAAATATGATAGAAGTAGGATAATATACATATACATAATATTATATATATATATATATATTATATATATATATATATATATATATATCGCACCCTTAGTAATATAAGGGCACAATCCAAAAAAAGTAGATTTTTGGAAAATCGCGTATTAAGATTCTGGATTCCTACATTACACCTATTTTTTCAAATAACATGCTTATGCCATATAGTACAAAAAATATAACAGAAATATGCAGTTATTTAAGTTTGATCCCATTTATTATTTAAATCCCTATCAATTCCCAAATTTCCCAAAAATCTACTTTTTTTGGATTGTGCCCTTATATTACTAAGGGTGCGATATATATATATATGATAAACAGAAACTGACAATATGTTTGTTACTTGAAACTGAAAGAACTATGAAGTTCCTTGGACTTCACATTGATTGATGCAATGGGAGGAACAACTTCAAATAATATGTAACAAGCTATTGAAACAATCATACACTCTCTTGAAATTATCTAGAGTGGTAAACAAAAATGCTTTACGTGTACTTTACCACAGCTATGTAGCTGCTACACTCAGATATGGTATCTAATTTTGGGGTAATAGTAGCAAGATAATATAAGTTTTTCGAGCTTAAAAGAGGTGCATAAGGGCAATCTGTGTACTGAAACAGACAGACAGTTGCAGAAACTATTTTCGAGAACAAAAATTTTGCCCTTGCCTTCATTGTATATCTATGAAACAGCCTTATTTTAACGACAACTTCAACTTTTTCCAATTATAAGAGCACGACGTCCTAACCAACTGTAAAACGTCACTATTTGAGAAGAGTATAATTGTAATGGCACCAATAATCTACAATAAATTGCCATTACAGTTAAGGCGAAATTAAAATTTCGCGGAATTTAAGCGCACGTTATTTGAGTATTTAATTGAAAAATAATTTTATATGTATGTAAAGGAATTTTGTTAATTAATTTCACATTGATTTATTTATTATTTATTATTGAGATGAATGTGACTGTATGACATTGATTTATTTACATTGATTATTATCTTAATTAAATTACTTTTGTTTTGATGTCCTAACTGTTGTAGATTTTAAGACTTGGTTTTTCACTGTCCTGTGAAGGTGAAAGCCTATAATCAGTGATTAATGATTATTATTATGTTATTATTATTTCGAAGTATTAGACAAGTATAATTAATAATAATAGTATAATTCGTATGCCTTGATGGTACGTCATGGCGATCATAAAAGAAATGTTATCAACTTTATTGTACCTAGATGACGAATAAAATGATTTGATTTGATTTAAAAGTTAAATAACGTTATCTGCAAATTTCAATAAAGCCAAATTATTGTGAATGAAGACCAGTTGTTCTGCATTAAGTGGTATAAATTGGTTCTTTTTAGTTTCATGAACAAGACCAGCTTCAGTGGACAGTTTTTCACTATAAACTCTTGCAAGCTGTGTTAAATTTTAAGTACTACTTGTTTTTGCCAGACGACCAAATGAAAGGATCGTGATCACGATCATTTTGAACCGTCTTCAAATACAATGTGTACTATGTAATAATGAAATGTGTAAGTAGATTAAAAATGTTTTTTGTTAATCTGGTATCAAGCCTTAGAATCAATTAGATAACAAACAAATTGATAAAATCAAATTGAATAAAAAATTATAACGGGCGTATCAAGTGCTAGGCTTATATTTATAACAACTAGAAATTTTAATATATCCAAAGAATGATGTAATTGCTTTTTTACCTTCTCCACGTCGAGAAATTTGTTGTGAAAATTTGAGATTTTTTTCACTGTTAAAATTTTTCTGTTATGTATTTGATTGTATTATCGAAAAAATAATCGTTTTTAGAAAAACCAAGTGACCACAACAAATCAAATCGTCAATGTGAAAGTGCAATCATTCACTAATCAATCAATCACGGCCATGCGGGTTGTAAACCGGCCTTGTTTACGGCAGTGGGGGTGATATTCGACGGCCGGATATCTGGCTATCCGGCTAGGTGCTCGCCGGATATCCGGTATCCGACCAAATCACTATCCGTTTCATCCCTAGTCAGGATTCTAGGCTGCGATATTTGCCCGCCCCAATGGGAAAATGGCTAGAAGTGGGTGGTGTATGTGGTTTTTGAGCATCCTAATTTATACAAAGCTTATTTTTTTCATTATCTACCATTGACTTACAATTATATGGACGTCGGGTCCGCGCTAAAAAATGTCCGAACTTATGGGGCGTTAAAATCGTATACAGAGCGTCATTCACGCTCTAGTCTTCGTTTGTTTGACTGACAGCGAAGCAAGCAAAATTAGACAGTACTGCGATGACATTACAATTTAAATTCAACGTTTTAGCTTTTTCATATTCTATGACATGTCACTACGTTTAAATAGGTTGACTTGGGACATTTTTTTCGTGGTTTTTGTATTAGACCCGTCGTCCATTTATTTGTAAGTCAATGTTATCTACTGTTGTTTTCTTTCCTGATGAATGAAAATTACAGCTACAGTTCTAAAGTCTGTTACCGTTGTGACACTGTAGCTATACATGTATGTATGTAGCTATACACTATAGCTGAAGTCGGCGAGAAGCGCTAGTGCGTCGTGCATTTGTGTGTACTTCTCCGCAAAAACCGTTGCGCTGGCGCTGCGCTGACACGACGCCAGCACGGCGTTTACCCGACATTCGGTAGTGTTCGGCAGTCGCTCAGCGCTGGCGTTGCGTCGCCGCCATGCAGGCGGAGCGTGCGCTGGCAAGGCGCTGACGCTCAAAAGACGCTAGTGTGTGTGTGATGGGTTTCTTAGTTTTGAAGTAACATAACCTAGTAACTAAAAATTAGAATATATTTAGGGGTTTCCTTAATATTGCATAAAATAATGTAAATTAAATTATATTATTCTAGTCTATAATCAGTACTCTTTTGCAAAACAGTACTGATTATACACTAGAATACTGTTTTACAAAAGAGTACTGATTATAGATGAGAATTCAAAGAAAAACTGTTTTTAGTTTCTAAACCTAATACAAATTAAAAAAATTGTTTATTGTTTATTTGCTTGTATATACTAGTTATTGTCACTTCATCATTTGTACATTATTTGTTTCCAGTCCGAATTGCACATGACAAATATAGGAGACTCTACACCAAACACACACAACTTCTTCGTAGATGAGGGTGAGGAGAAACAGTTTGACCTGGTGAAGAGGCTGGACACGCATCTTTCACTGTTGGGTAGGAAGTCCAACAGGCCCAGGATGTCGGATCTTAAGAAGATCAACCTGCCCGAGGTTGATGATGAGGTTTGTGTATTGCTTGATGAAGTAAACGTTTGTACTTAGGAAGTCAAACTTTGTACTCTTTTATCTTTCAAAATATGTAATTTAAACAAAGAACATTGGGTTTATATAATGAATAGAAGAAGAAAGAGAACCAAGTGTTTTGGGTTGATTTTTCAGAATATATTAAAGTTCAGTTATTAACAAGGTCATATATAAATATAAATCTATTCAAAGAATACTTAGCCCTATCTGTATTATAATTTTGATAGAATCACTTCCTTAAAGCTATTTTGACCTGATGCTGAATCAGTTTGCCCATGTATAACCATACATTTTTGTAGAATTAGGCCATGAATGTTGTACTCCAAAAGACTATTCATCTTTGAGTACTTCAAATTTAGTAATGTAACATTTCAAATACTTTAAAATAACTTTATTCTGGTTAGGTTCTAGAAACTATTAAGAAAAAGAAAAACAAAACCTACAAGGAGATAGCTACAAGGATAGACAGAGAAAAAGAACTGACAGTTATCCAACAGAAAATGGAAATAAAGCGCCACCTACAAGACAGATCTGCCAAAATCATGAAGCCCAAAAGAGTACAAAGGGGAACCAAGATTTCTGCGCCAGTGTACAAGTTTCAATTTATTAGGAAGAAATAAAACTTATCTGTTAAATTGTATTTTCACTTTTATTTCACAATTTATAATAAATAGTTTGTTATTTTTGTTTTAAATGTCATGCACTGGTGTTAAGGGGAAGTTTTGTTCATTTTTTATGCTTCCATTTGTAGCAATTTTTTGAGTTCGTTCCTCTTTACTTCGTTTAATATTTCTACATAACACAGCACAAAAATTTGCATTGCTATACTTAAAACAGATAGCCTATCATTAAAACAATTATAAAATAGTGTAAATGCGAGCCCGTAACGTTGAGTGCATCACTATAAGTCGATATAAAAATATGTTTGCATTATCTTAAACCTAAGGCGGTAACTTGTAGGTAACCTAGAGAATAAATGTCTTTGGTTCTCTTATAACTAACATCACATGACGATCACCATAGTATGCACTTATGTTCAGGGTTCATGGGTGATCCTTTTGGACATTGCCAAGCTTCTGCAAACTCCTTGGAGTTGCTCAAGGTCCCAATTACTCTGATTTTGTTCGGGCTATGCACCCCTTCTACTATTTTGGATTTTAAAGCCCCCATTGTTGAGTTGCCGCACCATATCTGCAAATATAATTTTATTTATTTATTTTATTTTTATTGTAATGGTACAAATTACAGAAAACAGATTACAGTATTATTTTCAAACAAAATTATTTTAAAAAGAAACAGTAAGTCTGCATTCCAATTATAACTGTACACAGCATTTAGAAAACTGTTGTGACTGTGCAATCTTATGAACAAAAAACAATAATAACAATATAGAACAATTTTAAAATAGAAGATTTCAAAATAGGTCAAATGAGCCGTTTAATGATGGACTTTTTGAAAATACATAAGACGATAAAATGGTACAGCTACATATCAATGACGACGTCAGCGGTTCAACGGTTGGCACTGCGGACGCTTGGTGCGACGGTTCCGGATTCGATTCCCGGTAGCACCAATTTGGGGTAATGAACGGGTCTCGGTGTTCCGGGTAGTGCCCCGGAGTGAATTCTGTTGCTCTTGTACTCATACTACAGGGCTTTCCCTAGTTTGAGACCAGGCAATTGGTGTAGTTGTCTGGCACATTATTTTTATTACGAGTATAATCTATGCTAAATATAACCCTTTGGACATTACATTATAACGGCGCCCAATTCTCTTCTTGCTCCCAACCCTATAATAATAATAATAATAAAATTTATTTATTTCCACAAATTACAAATAGAATGTGATTTGTTTGCAGATGACTGGTCAGAAATATTGTCAGAATGTTTGCGTTATTGTGAAAAGGATTCTTGAAAGGTTCTTAATCTTATGTAATTATTTTGAAGTTGTTATATACTGTGTCTTTATATAATTGCTGTAATTGGCACGTCCTTAATAATTCAAGTAAAAATAAATAAATAAAAAAACCGACCTCTAAAGTTCGTGGAATTACATCTATTTGCCAAGTTTATTGCAATATTTTTTTCAAATCTAAATGGGACCAATGTTGAGGTACCCTCTTTCCGACACAAAAAGAGTCGTCAAATTTATTTTTATTTATTTTTTGTTATTGAATTGATATTCAATTCTTTTTTACGTGAAATTGCTCCACTAGTTTGTTATAATTATTAATAGAAAAACTTAGAAAAAATTCCTTCTATCCGGCTGGATTCGAACCGACGTCTTCTAGCAAACCGTGCCGGACGCTATGCCAACTAAAACACGGAAAAACCAGCGGACCTAACGAATTTTTCTATGTGCTTGTTGAATCATCAAAGTCGGTTCACAAATCTACTCCTCCTACGTAAAGTATCGTATGTCGAAATTGCCAAGTTTACAGGGGAGCGTTTTAAACTTCTGAATTAACTGAAATAAGCATAATACGTGACTAGCATTTCTCAGTTTTATTCGGCAAAACTCGTTACTTACATATAGTATTATAAAATTGTAGATATCGGTTAGATGATATCTCTATGTGAGTAACTAGTGAATTCAGAACTTTATAATGCTCCCCTGTAAACTTGGCAATTTTGACATACGATCCTTTACGTAGGTAGGTAAAAAGTCGACTTGAGAACTTCCTACTTTTTTTGAAGACGGTTAAAAAGATGGAAGTGTAGAAGCAAAAGACGGTAACATACCTGTGCGAAGCCCAAGAAGAAGAGCTGCTCGGGCTTATAGGTGGGCAGGCCGGGCAGCGCGTCGCGGCGCGCGGCGGGGTGGCGCCCCGCGAACAGCGCGTACGCGTTCAGCGCCGCGCGCAGCCCGCCGTTGTCGGCGATGTTCTCGCCCTGCGTGTTGAACCCGTGCACCTGCGAGCAATGAACGCCAAACTTTCATGGGCGATTGTTAACAAGCGAGCGTGTCGACTTAGGTGTTGATTTAGGTAACTCACAAATTAGAAGGATATAGTAGGAATCAGATTCATCTTCTCGCTCAGAAACCCATCTGATTTCGAGACTACCCGATTGGATCGATTCCGGTTTGAATCAAAATCAGGACGATGGTAGTCGGATTAGATTCAACGTCTTAAGCGCGTTCCCATTATGTCGTAACGTTTTATCTATCGTTAGCGTCTAGCGTCACTATCGTGACTGTATCGTGGACGTTTATTTTATCATTGAATGACTCGTCGAACCTGATCGTGACGACAATTTATTGGTTCACGGCAGCCGCTTTGTCGTTTACACGATAGAATCGTTTATAGCTGCGATTATTTGTCACAATTCTATGGTGACGTTTTATTTATTGTCTGACGACTGTCATTCTAGCTCCTCCCGTTGTCACGACAGTATGTCGTCGTAACGTCAAAACAGTCGTGAACGACAGTGTTGCCGTGTCGTGTTGTTCTCTATGTAAACAACTTCATTTAAATATACAAGCCACGACACTTTAAACTGCACGACTATCTGTCCTCACGACATAGGTAATGGGAACGCGTCCTTAGCTGTGGCAACTGTTAGTTGTGCAATTCACAATGGGAGGTGAGCGTGCTAACAGCTCCGGTATTTATTAGGACAAAAGGGTGTTGGTAGGTGCACCCGGGGTCGCTCACCCAAGCCACTACCCTTTTGAGCACCGGATGAAGTCTGTGTAAACGGGCTGACCTGGGGTCAGAACCTGACTGAATTACGTCACTGTATAGTCAAAACTTAAGTAGAGAGATGGGCCTGCCGACAGGAAACAGCACACGCAGTGACAAATCTTGCTGCTTATAGATGTCAAATGCATTTTTTCATACCAGACTAGAGTAGACATTAAATGAGAGAAGGTGCAAAAATATTTATTCGTGAGTTGCGTTGCCAGCTGAACAGTGAAAAATAACTTACGGTGTAGTTGGGTAGCTGCGGCATATGGTACTTGCTGTACTGGTCGATGATGCACTGGACCTTGCCATGGTAGTGCTCCAGTGTCGCGGCAGACCACCACTGCTTCAAGTTGCCCTCTTCATCGTAGCGGCGGCCTAAGCATGATTTTTAGAGGATATACTTATTAACAAATACACTTATGTCAACGAAAATTAACCACCCTTCCCATTGAAATTGCCAACTGTATTTATGACATCTAAATAACCTCCTTACCTTGGTCATCAAATCCGTGGGTGACTTCATGACCCATTATGGCACCAATAGATCCGTAGTTGATTGCTCTGTGAAATGCGAATAATTTTTAAAACATATCTAAGTATTAGCACAAAAACAAGTCAAGAAAAAATGCTTACTCAATTCCGTTTCCGTAGAAAGGTGGCTGGAGTATACCAGCTGGGAAGGCTAAAAGGAAAACATTCAACATTAAAACCATTCTTACCGTTAATGAAGTTATCTATATTTATATAAAAAATAAATTAATTTATCGAGTTCTTACGTTTTCGCGATTGTTACTCACAGGAAGTGAAAGTATTTTTCCGGATTTAAATCGCATATACTTGTTTTTTTTTTTCAAACAAACCAACGTTTCGGGCCCTTTACAGGTCCCATGGTCACGGTGGACGGAGGTGGTACAGTCATCAACCAGTTATGTCTAATATTAATGCAAACGAAGCGAAGTATTTGTACCCGCGTCAAAGAACATATAGCTAATGTCAAAGACCGTCGCGGAAACAAGTCTGAAGTCTGCGAGCATGTCATGGATAAACCTATACATTCAAAGAAGTTTGACAAACCCCAGGTCCTTGCAAAGGAAGTCCGTTATCTACCCAGGATGCTGCGAGAGGCCATTGAAATTAAAAAACATCCAAACTTCAACAGGGAAGATGGTTTCTCCGTACCACCAGTTTGGGATCCAGTATTTCCTCTGATGAAAAATCCCAAACAGACATAAGACTGCAGTACTAATTAATATGTTTTAATATAAATTAGGATGGCAATTAGGATAATCCTAATTGCCATTATCAATTAATAATAAATGTAACTTAATAAAAATTTATATTGTTAAAATAAAATAATTTGTGAAATAACGTAGCGTAAATTTGAATGCCTCTTTGTAAAATTAAAATAAGGTATCTATTTAATTAATAACTTTTTAACTATGTTGAAAAAATCGGGTGCTTTACATCAATATTAGATATAACTGGTTGATGACTGTACCACCTCAGTCAACCGTGATCGTGGGACCTGTAAAGGGCCCGAAACGTTGGTTTGTTTGAAAAAACAAATACACGCGATTTAAATCTGGAAAAATAGTTTCATTTCCTATAAATGAATTTACTAATTCTTTCATAAGTATATATCAGTAACAACATATATAGCTTTTTTTATAATACTAAGTGACAGGACGAACAAATCGTGCACCTGGTGTTGTCAATACCAGTTGCAGTGCCACTCAGAGCTTCAAGGTGCCTTCTTCATATTATACGCTTATGTAGCGTCACTGTGACGATGCGGCTGCGCCAGTGCTAATTTTTTAATTTAACATTTGCAGCGTCACTGTCGTGACACGCACACGCCGCTTTTGCAGTCACTATTAGTTAACAAAAATTAACTGAAGCGTTACAGACGCGCGGCTGTCGCGCCTACAAGCTGCTAATTTGAAGGCGCCGTTAAATCTGAAAGACCTAAGGACTGCCACTGCGCCCGTCACTCTGAGACATAAGTTGACAAGTCTCATGTGCCTGTCATTTGACCACCTTCGTAAGACCATAAAGAAATCGATACTTACTGACTGAATTTAATGTAGCTGAATAGAAGGCGTTTACAGTAGTCGCTGTGGCTACCCATCTGGAAATAAAAAAAAACTTTTCATCCACCTTTTTTGGTCCATGATTGTATATAGTTCTTAACATTTTGTTCAGTCAATTTATGTTGTTTGTTCCTTGTAGAGTTGGTCCTGAATAAACTAATATAAAGGAGATCTGTGCATTTCGATTGTTAATATGTATATCAGTTTACTATCTATATGTCACACATAATAGAGCCTTTATTGCAATGTTTGAGTACATGCGTAGGTATACGTATACATAAATATCTAAATTCAACTGTTTCATACATTTTAAACGAGCAGGTCGAAACATTTTGTACCATCGTCAACGTCCTTCAGTCGAAAAGAAGTGTTGCTGCAGTGGTATTTTTTTATTGGTTTTTACGGCCCTGGGCTGTAGTGCTATGCTTTAGAGGTGTTGCTATAGTAGCTAAAAGTGGTGTCGTATTTCACGTAGGTCACTGCTACAGCACAGCTGCTGTTTTTTTCTTTTTATTGTATTACATATTTTTTGTTATGTATGTGTGTCTGTAGATCCAAATAAACGTTTTATCTATCTATCTAACTAGCTCATATAATATTACTCAATTGCCGAATCTTATGTAATAATTATGTACTTTTATCTAAGAACTCGGGACCACCCACAAGGTGGACCGATGATCTGGTGAAGGTTTGATAAATCCGCAGGATGCAAGCAGCACAAAACCGGTCATTGTGGCGTTCTTTGGGGGAGGCCTATGTACAGCAGTGGATGTCTTTCGGCTGAAATGATGGTGATGGCTTAAGAACTTACCGATTCCTATCTGGTTGTTCTCGCAAGGTGTCAAAAGACTTCTTGACAGCCGACCCGGTTAGTTTCAAGTACGTCTCGAACAAATCTCCTTCCACCACTTCAGCCTGAAAGTTGGAATGTCTTTTTTTATGATATTAAGTAATGAGAGGAGTCGTGGGCCTGGTGATAAGCGACACGCCTGTCCATAACAGGCTCACCTAAACACTAACCTTAGGGAGGGTCAATAGAAACAAAACTTATGTAGAATAATAATAATAATAATTACACACACACAAAATAACCCCGCATTAGGGAAGACCTGTATCGCGGTGCCATGGACACACACAAATTACACCCAAACTCACGAGAGAAATAAATGTAGGCCATACAAATATTTGTCCCGGCCCGGGAATCGAACCTGGGACCTCTTCGTGGCAGTCGTTCATGGTAACCGTTCGTCCACAGAGGCAGTGACAAAGATATGGGGCTGTCCATAACAACCGTGGCAACAGTAAGTTGCGCAGAGTGCAACGGGAAGTGAGCGTGACTGCAGCTCCGGACTCCGGTACCTATCTGGAAATAGGGAGGGTGCTGTACGTGCACCCGGAGCGGCTCACCAAAGGCACCGAACTGAATGAAGTCCGTACTGGGCTGATCTGGGGTCAGGACCTGACCGAGAAAGTTAATGTGCGGGTTTGCACGCACAGGTTATAGTGCCCTTCCCGTATAACCAAGAGGTTGACAGGGAGGGACACTATAAACAAAACGTATGTAGAAAGATATGGGGCTGTCCACAAAGTTGCAGTGCCACTCAGAGCTTCAAAACACAAAGATCTGGAGGGCACTGCTACGGTGCCTGTCACTCTGAGACATAAATTGACAAGACCCTGTAATTTCACCAGCACCCTTACCCTTCAAAACCGGAACGCAGGTATTACCTCATATGTAGATTCTGTCGGCACGTATGGAGGAGGAGGTCAGAAAGGAATATGACATAATTTTTGAATGGTTTGTTATTTTCTTCGTCATAATATTACTCACGTGTTTATAATGCTTATCGAGCTGGTCGTGTGTCAACAACCAGGAGGGGAAGCCGACAAAGTTCCTGATGGCTCGAAGCTTGTTAAGAGTCTTGACTCTAGTGGTGGTATCCATCCAGTCTAGTTGATCGACTGCCGCGGCGAAGGCCTCTCGGACGTCTTCAATCATTTCTATGGCCTGTTGATAGTTAATAGAATTTTACCAGGTTTGTAAGATTTTCAAGGATATTCTGTATAAAATGGTATGTGCGACATTTTTGTATTTCTTAGATGACCAATATTTTCATGTTACTTAATACATCAACTTTACTGTATTAGTCGGAAGTCCTTAAATCGAATTGTCATAACTTTGGTATTAGGGTTTAAATAATTATAACTAGTTACTTATTTATAAATAATCTCAGTACAGTCAGAGTACTAAAAAACCGACCTCAAAAGTACGTGGAATTACATATAATTACCAAATTTTATTGAAATCGGTTACCGGAAAGTGCGCAAACCTGGATTCATCCCCTAGTTCGCCATTATACGGGAATTGACACAGGAGATAATAAAAATCGGTTCTCACTACTCAAAGTGTATCGAGAGAAAAATGCCTTGAATTGAAAAATAGCAAAATCAACCATTAAAATAATTGCTCCTTACAATAAAATTTAGGCGCTATTTATAAAAATGAGTCTTCATGCGTGAAAAGCCACTCTTAGAGGTGGATGATTTTCATTTAAATTAAATGGGATCACTATGGAAGTACCCTCTTTCCAACAAAAAAATGGTTCACAAATGGCGGAGTTATCGCGTAACATAAATACAAAAAAAAAACTTACAGTCCAATTGAGAACCTGTTTCTTTTTTGAAGATTGTTAAAAAGATTTTTTAAAGATGGTTAAGAAGAGAAACCCACCTTTTTTCTAGAAGTCTGGTCGAAATGTCTTTTGACATAAAGATAGCTCAAGGCGACTCCAAAATTTGCGTTAACGTTGGCAGTACAACTTTTCCATCTCGGAGTCCGTTGTTGCAAACCAAACACTGCTTTAGAGAACTCAAAGCCCAAGTCTCTGAAGGCACTGAGAGTCATGGGAGCCACGGTAGAGAAGACGCTCCACCAAAGGAATCGTTCTAGAACAAAAGCACAGTTTTTTGAGTTATGAGGTTTCAAATTTAGCCGATGATCTAGATTTCAGATGCAATAAGAACGCTATACCCTTGGCTATACTAAAAAACGAGGGAGACTGAATAATCACTAAGGTCTCACCGATCAAGATAGGTTTCGTATCGGACAAAAGAACTGCGAGTTTCTGTAGATAGGGCAGGTCCATGACGATGACACGGTCTGTTTGCGGCTGCAGGGTTACGCTCGTGTTTGCGAATACCAGCGTCAGGTATTTCTCCCAATCATGCTGGAACCAAAATATTTTTGATACATAAATAAAATGAAAATAAAATGTAAGTAAGGAGAAATCTAATCTTGTCATTTACCTCTTTCCATTGAGCAGGACCTCCTCCAGACCCCGTTATGAGCTGCGAAACACTGACTTCGTGAAACAGATGGGTTCCGCTACGTCTTACTTCGACCGGAGTCATTATCTGCAATTAAGAATATTTTTTGTGATGATGAGGGGTCGTTAATGTCTCTGCATTTGTTGTCATTCAAGCACTTAATCTCAAGGTTACACAATAAAAGTTGAAATTAAAGAACACTTACCTTAGCGAGGTTCTTGCTAAGGGTGATGATGTCGTCAGCGAAGCTCTGCGCGTTGGCGGTGGGGTCAGCGATGATAATCATCTGTTTGATATACTTGTGGTACTGCTCAAGCTCATGTGCGAACTGTTCGGGCTGCAGTAGGTAGCGCTCGCTGAACCCGGGCGATACTTGTTCGATCTGAAATTGATTTCAGACGTTTTATACTTACAGACATAGACTGTAGATTTAGGAAAGAACTTTCTAAGGTTCACTTTGCATTGTTAGATTTAGGAAAGATCTTTCTAAGGCTCACTTTATATTATTGCGGAGCAGAATGAAAGCCAATGTTTGTAACGAAATTGTACATAGCATCAGTGGCGTAGCATCGATTTCTGCCGCCCGGGGCCAAACTTAAATTCTTCCCTCTATTTTTACGATTACAAAAGTACACACATCAAAAGTGTCTAGGGATCAAGTACGTTTAAGAGTATTGCTGCAATTAGGGTTAATTATATTAACTTTTTTGTATCGCTATTGATACTTTTTAGTGAGTTTTAACATTTAAATAAGGAATATTGTTTAAAATTCGATAATAAGAAGAAAATCGATTGTCAATGTGGTTTTGTATAAAAATGAGTTATAGCATTTTGACAAAATCATTACAATATCTGCATCGGAACCGAAACAATTTACATTATTATGGAGAGACGACATCATTTAACCCGAGAAGTGATGATGCGAGCCGTCGGAATGTTGGAAGCTGGTTCCAGGCAACGTGCTGTGGCTTTCACTCTTAACACTACACAGAGCCTCATAAGTCGCCTCTGGACGCGCTATCGCATGACGGGCAGCGTGGCCGAGCGACATGGAGGACGATCTCGCATCACGACTCGCAGACAGGACCGGTATATCCAAAATACTGCTCGACGGAATCGTACCATGACCGCCATGATGTTGGTTACGAGGCTCCACAGCTCCTCAGGCTTGCTAATAAGCGATCAAACAATCTGAAATCGTTTACGTGAAGTGGGTCTGCGATCCCGAAGGCCGCTCGGAGTTCCACCTATTGCACCCTGCAATCGCAGGACCCGTTTACGATGGGCTCGCGAACACAGAAACTGGGAGGAAGAAGACTGACGCTATGTGTGCTTTTCGGATGAATCCCGCTTCGGTATGAGACCGGATACAAGACGTACTCGAGTTTGGAGAACATCTGGACGTCATGAACGTTTGAGATATTGTCAGGAAGTTCATCCATATGGTGGGGGAACAATAATGATATGGGCCGGTATTTGGATCGGCGGAAGAACCGATCTCATTTGGATCAGGGGTAACCTCAATGCTCAAGTTTACGCAGAGAGGATTGTTTCAGATGTTATCATCCCTTTGCGAGGCCAGTTGGGTGATTCATTTCAACTAATGCATGACAACGCACGTCCACACACGGCTAGAGTCGTAACACGCATACTTGCCGAAGCTCGTATCAACGTTCTGCCGTGGCCTGCTCAATCGCCAGACCTCAATCCAATTGAGCACGCATGGGATATGCTTCAAAGAAGAGCTGTGCCGAGTATGCATACCGTACATACTCTACAACAATATTTTGACTTGTTACAAAACACATGGGCGGCCATTCCTCAAAGTGATTTTGATGAACTCATCTTAAGCATGCCAAATCGCTGTAATTGTGTGATTCGTGTTAATGGTGGAAAGACAGATTATTAATTTTCTTATCTTTACAATAAAAATTAGCAAAATCATCATTTTCGCCATTTTTTTGTCATTTAATTGACGCCGTTAATTTGAGTTTTTTCCCACAATTTGCAAAAACAGCAATTTTAGTTTATTTTAATTAAATATAGGGGTAAGCGGTTAAATAAAACATAAGAATTAAAGTAAGAAGTCGTCCTGGAAGACTGGATTTGGTAAATATTGCTTAAATAATTTTTATTTCAAAAATATTCACTTGATCCCTAGACACTTTTGATGTGTGTAGTTCGTTCGAGCAGGCTCGGCTCAATTGTTTTTTTTTTCTACAATGCCAAGTGACGGGCAACTCGTGCGCCTGGTGGTAAGCGACACACCTATCCAAAACAGTTGCAGTGGCATTCAGTGCTTTAAATTGCAAAAATCTTTTTTTTTTATACATGACAGGCAAATGACTCCACTCCACCTGATGTTACGTGGAAAGTGGTATTCAAACGCGAAGGAACCTAGTGCAGCGATGAAACCCTCACTGCACTTGCCACCTCCACCCTGCCTGCCTACAATATGCCTCTTCACGCCTCGTTTGAAGGAGCCCATATCATAAGAGGGAGGGATGACATGTGCCATCTTATGGGCACTACCACTACGCCCGTCACCCTGAGACATAAGTTGTCAAGTCCCATGTGCCTGTAATTTCACCAGCACCCTTACCCTTGATTTTTATGTTCGCCTGCTGTTGCCACCTATGTGTTGTTCACGATATCGTTTTCTCGATAGTGGTATTTATTTTTAAATTTTAGTAAAAATAATCATTTTGAGTAGTTAGTGTTAGGCGTGCTCGTCGCCGCCCCCATTGCTGTCTACTCAGGGCCATGCTACGCCACTGCATAGCCCAATGAATGTCAATTGTGTAAAGAAACGATACAGTAGCTGCGGAAATTTCGGAGACTGAAATTCTCCGGAAGACGCAGTTCTTTGCTTCGTACCTATCTAGTTTGTACGTTACACAATCGACACAAAGTTTATTACGCAATTGGTACAATAAATGTTGTATCGGTGTAGTTCTAAGTTGTATATATTATTATTATGTATATGTGTTATTTTGTGGCACCTTCGCAAGTAATTTCTTAACAGTGGCACCGGTTTGGTAGTCAAATATGGTGGTGGTTTCGTTAATTATATTGTGGAGAATTTGAAATTGGTCTAAGGGAGTCACCACACTTATCGACACGGAATCGCATAAAGCGTGAAACACATAGAGAGCGGGCACGGAACGGGCGCACGCGCCCGCGCCCTAGTGTGTTGTCGTCCATATAAATACAAGGTATTAGACCCGCCGTGCTCCCGACCCGACCCGCACCCGCTTTCTGTGTGTTTCACGCTTTAGTCAGTCAGAAATAGCTTTATGAGAGCTAAAAATACTTTGCGGTTTCGCTTCCGCTAGGACTGTGGATGGGAAAGGTAAGGTAGGTAGGTTTTTGCTCTTATTGCATCGATACCTCCAATGAAACTACGCCAACGTTATTTTTTGCTCATTATCTGTTATTTATGTAAACAGCCATATTTATTTTATTTTGTGAAGAAAGAAATGAAGAAACAAAATAAAATCTGGCATAGTGTTCATAGGTGGTATCGACATGGACGTAAATCGTTTTCTGACCGGCTTAATGGACTCCCTTGTCGTAAGTATAACATATCTAAGTTTATTTATTTTTGACCCCTTTCTATTTAACACAAGAATGATCTGTTAAAAAAACTTAAAGTGTAATGAATAACCCCAGATTATCGATATGCCTTCAGGGATTTATAAATATTCGTTTTGATGTTATTTTTCTGATATTGCACTTTCTTAACATTTCCTTTTTCATAAAAAGACGAGAGCAAAGAGACAAGGTCGCTTGTAACATAAATAAATCGTAGTTTCATCATCTAAATCAACTGTGAAACGTTTACATCCAAATCGAGAGGCAACAATATTCAAATACGTTCAGTCACACTTAATAAACTGGACAGTAAGAACATCTTTACACAGCACAACACAAAAAACGCGTCACTGATCGAATTAATTTGCAAGTTTTAGTTACACAAATTACCCTGGTAGGTAAGGAGGTACCAAAACCGAATTTCCAAGAGGCTTTTGAGTAGGGTTGGAATTTATTTAAAAATTGTACTTATAAGTTAGTAATATGGCCTGTAATTATACGCAGTTTTATTCAATGGCTTACAGAAATTAAATGAATGTGTTTATATAGTGGACTTTAGTCTGTACGAAATTGTGATTCCACCTTTGATATGAATAAATACTAAATATCATATGGCCACCAGGAGGCCTAGTCAGATATTAGTGATATTCGCTACTGCTGTGGGTAGTGAAAATTACTGCGCGGTATCCCGCCGGGTACCTGTTTGTATGAAGTTCAGCGGCCAGAGCAAAACAGATACGGCCACATACTTCTGATCGGCGGTATCCGTTCTCTTGCTTTGAGAAATTGGTTTCGCAAGTGAAGATTAGTTGACATAATGGACTCATGTGCGATCTTGACGCCGAAGCAGTCAAATGATAAATTGATTGAGATTACACATTAGGCACGATTGTAGGTGGTCTTATTCACTGATGGCATAGAAGTGATTGTCTAGATCGGCGAAAATCAAGATAGTTTAGCTACCCATAACGGTAGCCATATCAGCTTAGGTTTAAACGTTTAAGTAAGAATACCGTATACTCACTCACTCGGATTTCGGTACCCACAGCGGTAGTAAATACCGCGTGTATCTGAATAGGAATTAAAACTGTGGAGAATCATGCAAAATCATCTATAATTTGGCCCAGGTGGGTAAATGCCAAACTGTAAAGCTTCAAACACCAGGGAAAGTAGCCTGTTTATCGACATTTCATCCTTAATGTGAACCGCCGCGGAAGCTCATGATTAAGGATCACGGACTGGTTCGAAACATGTCAAGCAACAATTCGACTTAAATACGTGAGTTATCCGTTAGTTTAATTAATAATATGTCCGAGTCTCACAGTAGTTTTTTATTTAAAATTTGACGAAATTTTTTCCAATGGGATTAATATGGATAGTGTGTTTGATTTAATTCCCCCATCCACTTTACGGGGAACAAGACGTAAATATATACTAAGATGAAAAAGAACAGGCAAATATCCAGCTCCGACTAAATTATGACGTCATCAGGTAACCGATAAATAAAAATAATAAACACCTTGTATGTCGGATAAGTAACGTGTTACTTGTCTGCCTACGCTCAGTTCTAAATTATTTTGCTTTTATTTCGGTCCTCAAACACAGTTTCGAGTCTTTGCACAACAGTCACAGTCAAAGCACTTGCTATCTTTCAAGGTCATCGTTATTTGATTATCGCTGATGTTTTTAGGCATTTGAAAACCCCTCAATGGCGTGTAGTGAACTTTTTGTGGTTTTATGAAGATTGTAGTTTGTAATGGTTTTTATGTGATGCTAATTTTATGTAGTATCGACTGAGAATCATGGTACGTAGATAGGTATTGTAATCTAGGAAGTGGTTTCACTGCATCTGATCGGTCAACGTTTATAAATAAACCCTATAACATTTGAATAGATATTAGTATTAACATAACCTAACCTCCGGTTAAAAAACCGACCTCAAAAGACATTCATCCCCTAGTTTGCCACCCTTAGAGGTGGAATATTTTTTTGAAATTTAAATGGGACTACATCTGAGGTACCTTCTTTCCAATTGGTTCACAAATGGCGGAGTTATCGCGTAACATTCATACAAAAAAACATACAGACGAATTGAGAACCTCCTCCTTTTTTTAAAGTCCGTTAAAAATAAGGCAGATTTGACTTACCACAACCCGATTTCTGCTAGTATTCCTGACATCCTCAGCAACCTGGACACTGAGCAGCACGTTTAGCCCCAGCATACGTCTCCCACGACCAGCTACGTCTTCCCAGGAGAAATTGGCGCTGGCTTCGACAGGGGGGTTTGGTGGAAGACCTAGTCTCTTCAGGAGATTTTGTATGGGCTTGGTCGCTTTCTCTTCTAACTTGTCTGTAATTAAGAAACTTGTAGTGTATATTTGACATGGTAAGAACTACTACATTCATTGACTTACAATTATATGGACGTCGGGTCCGCGCTAAAAAATGTCCGAACTTATAGGGCGTTAAAATCGTATACAGAGCGTCATTCACGCTTTAGTCTTCGTTTGTTCGACTGACAGCGAAGCAAGCAAAATTAGACAGTACTGCGATGACATTACAATTTAAATTCAACGTTTTAGCTTTTTCATATTCCTTTACATGTCACTACGCTTAAATAGGACTTGGGACATTTTTTTCGTGGTTTTTGTATTAGATCCGTCGTCCATTTATTTGTAAGTCAATGACTACATTGGTAATTTTGGGTAAGAAATTTCCATTTTATTGTTTCCGTTTAATGTGCAGTCGTAAAGTAGGTAAGAAAGCATGTTTTCCTGCGGTCTATAGAATACCTTTGTATTATGGCGGAGTATCTATGAGCAAAACAATTTCGGGATCTCCACAAACTTCTCACACTGTAAATTTAATTACCAATGTCAACGCAGGTCCTGTACAACACCTTGGCTTTTCTCACACTCTGAGGCAGGTCTTCAGCGTCTTTAGCTTCCAACAAGTCTTTCAAATCTGTCACCAGGCGTTCCCGGAGCCTTGCCAGCTGGTCCCAGGATGTCGCCCAGTCAGGTACAGGATTCTTCTCGATCCAACCGCCACAGGCAAATTCGTAGAAATCTTGGCAAGGGTCCACTTCTTTGTTTAAGGCTTGAAGTATTCTGTTGGCTGTTGGAATAGTAATAATAATTAATAAAAATTATGCTAATAGGTGGGCAGACATGGACTACACGACAGTGGTGTAGAGTCTGCGTGTCACGATGACCGATCGTTCCAAGAACTTCAATCACATGTCTACTGGGACCTGATTCTCTTTGCTTCGTTGGTTGCATTTCATTGTATTCAAAAATAATTGAAATGGTTTGTTGGACACTAAACCATCGCATGAATATTTTGGTTTCAACGTTTCAACCTAGAGAATTCCTTATATTTACTATGGTTATCAGTAAGACAAGTTAATACACAGGTTCCCAAATTTTTTGACCCATCGCCCACTTAGGCAAGATAAAAAAAATTGGGAAATTTTGGGAAACTATGATCTAACACAATAAAAAATATATTAAAAATTTGAGAACCTCGGTAACCTCGGGTTGTACTGTGGGCGCTGGATGAAGAGGTTCCGGCCTCGTTTCCCGATTGGACCAATTTGGTAAATGAATTTTTCTAAATTGATTTTGCTTTGGGCTTTCTGGGAAGTGCACCAGAGTGAACTCCGTTGCTCTAGTAGGTACTCATTGTACAGGGAGTTCCCTAGCTTAAGACCAGGCAATTGGAGTGGTACATTAAGATTAAGGTATACTTTGATTTATATATAAGCTTGGCTTTCAGATTTACTAACAAATAACATTAACAAAAATTTATGTCATAATTTTGGAACTCTCAAGATCTTATTGTATGTTATGTCTGCGGTTTCAATGCAGACAAAAAAATCACGTGTCTAACTTTCACTAAAAATATAATATTTGAGTCAAATTTTAGTGAAATCATGTGAATATGCGTACTGAATTAGGTGTTAGAATTCCAAAATCAGTCACATTGTATTAGTCATAGAAACCTCTTACGTAAATTATATTATTAAAAAGTACATAGTACTGAAAAGTCTTCTATTATTTAGAAGTCAGTGTGATGGGGCGGTCTAGTCCCGCTCTTCCTCGACGTGGAAGACCTTTTTACAATAACTACATTATTATTATTATTAGTTACCATCTACAGAAATACAGCAGGCTTGAGTAGTTTATAAACAACGAACTGTTAGAAATAAATTCCCAACACTGGCCGAAATGAACTAGTTCCTCTTGGGCGATTTTAATAGTTCACGGGTCATTTCAGATACTCTACGTTGCGGAGCCACAGATGCGAGACGATCTGAATAGTTCACCTTTCTTGTAGTTCAGTAGGAACAAACGGTGCGAACGGAATGCATAACACTCAATACGCAGTTATATTATTCAGGTTAATCAAATAACACCGTTCCCATTGTATTTTTAAACAGTAAAGTATACTATTGACCTAATAGTACCAGGAGTCCGAAGTTCATTTGAATAAAAGTGTTAGTTTGAAACATTCGTTTAATGTCCGATCCGAGCAAGATAAATAGAGAAACTAAAAGAACTTGAACACCGAACTCGTTCAGTTGACCGATTGAATTAGACCAGATCGCTCACTCTAAAGTCCGAGAGAAGTGTAAAAAACAGTCAGGAAATATAGTTAGATATTATTTGTAAGAGCTATTTATGCTAGTTATTCTATGTGTCTCATTGTTGCAAAACGTTTCTTGGGTATATTAGAAATGCCTCTAAGTATAAACGCCAGCAATCGTAGCCTTGATTTTATTAATATTCTTCAAAACAACAAGCAAAAAAGAACGTATCTTATAAAATTCCAAAAGCCATTTTAAAAACGTCCCTAATTTACACATAAACGAATTTTAAAAACTACCAAGTGTAAAGTTAATCAAAAATGCCGAAAAAGGCAAGTGTGAAAGTTAAAACTTGTAATGGTAGATTAAAATTCTCCGACAGCACGGCTATTTTTATTTTATAAATTATCATTGTTATTTTCCTGTTCGTCTTCTTAACTTTTAAATTATATTAAGAATGTCTTATCTTGCAAATTATTTGTTTTTCTTCTTCCGTGTTTTAAAAAGCATGAAGTGGCACGTACAAAAAAAAACTTTTAAAACCTAAGCTTAAAAGACATTGTTTATTCAAAATGAGCCATTATCTATATTAAATTGAATATCATTAAAACTCAATGTACGACGTAATCTTTAATAATTTTAATATCATTAGCCTTTATAGTTCAATATTCGTGATTTTGGGTACATAAGTTATAAACACCATCCCAAGATTCTCATTCAAATATTTAAAAGTTAAATAAAAAATTCCATAATTAGGGTACAATTAAATGCGTGTTGTTTGTTTACCATCGCTCCATACAGACGTGAAGTAAGCAAAATACCAATAATGATGAAATAATTTATGCAATTGTAACATTTCAACGCGAAAACTGCGTAGGTCCTCGCATCCACGTGTTAACCACCTAACTGCTTGCTCTAGAAAATACGCAGCTGAATTAAAGCAATTATGTCTTCTTAATGGCGCCGCCATTTGTGCTGTCGACATAGCTTTGATACAATGTGGAAATTAATGGAAAAATACACATGAGTAATCTTTATTTTTGTAACTGAACCTACGTATTACGCTCCACTAGTGGGAATGACTGTATTTTTGTTACAAGGTGATGTTTTCTATTGCCGTTTGTAACATATAGGTATCAACCTGTGACAATTATATGGATATGAACATTTATGACTTCTAAAATATACGAAAAAAAGGAATAATTTATGAGAACTAAATTATGAATAAAGGCTTTTTGAAAGAGCCACATTAACTCTGCATTTTTTCTTCTTCTTTTTCTTTAATGTCCAACTCACTTGCACTGATTCTACCATCCTGGGATGTGACTGGTGAAAGGTTAGTATGGTTTGTTCTCACCTAAATAGACCACATGCAGATATGGGTTTTCTTCGTGGAAATATCTAGCTAGAAATACTCTACACACTAGAACCTCGTCACTGTATCTATCACGTCACAGTTACAGCTCGCTAATGAGTACCCGGCTTTATGTATCCATTCCATTGGGCTCTAATCTCATTGAACTTTCTTTCAGCTACTTTAAACGAACCACAACCAAAGTGAAAAAATTACGTACAACTTTTACTATAGGGGAATCCCTGCACATCCCGGAAACAGTCAAATAAATATTGGTCGAGCAGTTTTAAAAAAATTAGTTTACATAACTTTAAAGTTAATAATCTCAGTACTCTGTACTGCGATTATTAATAAAAAAATTAAATATTAATTACTAAAAAAACCGACCTCAAAAGTACGTGGAATTACGTCTATTTGCTAAGTTTTATTGAAATATCCTTAAATTCGCCACTATACAGGACTTGACACTGAAGATAATAAAAATCGGTTCTATCTACTCAAAGTATATTGAGAGAAAAATGCCTTGAGTTGGAGAAATAGCAAAAACAACCATTAAAATAATTGCTCCTTAAGTAAAATTTAGGTGCTATTTATAAAAATGTTTCCTCATGCGTGAACAGCCACCCTTAGAGGTGGATGATTTTCTTCAAAATGAAATGGGACCACTATGGAAGTACCCCCTTTCCAACAAAAAGAATCATGAAAATCGGTTCACAAATACCGGAGTTATCGCGTAACACACTTACAAAAAAAAACATACAGTCGAATTGAGAACCTCCATTTTTTTTTACGTCGGTTAACAATTAATAACACAGAACAATGTGCGTAAATTAACTTATACTGATTTTTCCCAGATTGTGTAGTCGTCATTTACATGATTTTAAACTTAGAACCTAAAAAAGCTGAGAATACAGGTCATCATGCTAAACGTATTTAAAAACACGTCCATTACGTATTAATGTTTAGGCGTGAGTCAGCACTGCTCTCCCGACAAACAATGTACTACTTCGCTATTCTATTAACAGTTACAGTTCCTTTCACATAGCATGAGACGATGCTGACTCCTATGAAATTACAGCGGCGCACTGGCGCTGTCGATCGAGCATTCTCGACATAAAATACGGTTATAACAAAAAGTTGCCAACATTTAGTATGGAAGGTCACCTACATATCCTCGCGGTTCACATCACTCACTGAGAGATACTAAGGTCATAAAATATATCACGATTTGTATTAAAATATTTTATACGAAGTTCATGGTTGGCACCCAAACAATCCTATGGCAGTACCTTCGCAAATGAAAATGGACCCTTATTGTCCATTCCACAGACCATATAAATACTAGTACGAGTAACATGCAATTACTGCCTAAATACCGTGCTTTATCAACTCAAATTTCTTCAAAATGTTGATTATTTAGTAAAGTTTTGTAATGAAATGTGTAAAGAAGGGAACTTAGGCGGTCTTTGTCTTTTAATTAACTGGACGGAGTTAAGCAAAAAGGATCCAATCCACAAAATTATCAAAAAATGAGTTATATGTACCAAACGGTTCCTAAAGTCAACCTCTTGGATCACCAAAAAAATGCAACATCTAAACATAAATCACTGAAGTTACATGACATTATAAGTTTTCAAAATAAAACAAGAGTGAGAAACACTTTTAAACTTCAAATTGCCTTATCTCGAAAGTAACTGGATGTGCATTGGATCCTTTTTGTTTAACTACGTCCAACTCAGAGTGCAGAGTGACGAGAACGTTGTTGTAGAAAAAAATATTATTTTTCTGAATATTTTTCCAATATTTCCTCCACATTTTTTGAAATTTTAAAAATTGTCACTATTTAAAAAAAAATCTTACTTTACTTTCAGCAGACCATTTGAAAACTGTAGCTCATGAACAAGCAGAATCGTCATAAATTGTGACTAAAGTTAAAAAAAAAATTGCGGTTTTTTTTGTAGTCATAACAAATCACAACACGAATATCACGTTGACTGAGCTCCACTGTTGTGAACAAATTCCCACCAGATTAACTTCGAAAAATAAAAAATAAAATAAAAAATCATTCCATTTAAGAGGTGTTTCATTTTCAAATTTATTAGAAAATAACCTGCGTTTGCGGCGGTGTATAACTTGCCAGTATCAAACAAATGTATATAAAGAGTATCTAATTTCTTTTGACATAACACTCGTATTATTACTCACTTTCCTGAGTTAATTAAACATCCAGTAGAATAGATCTACGTCTGAACGTGCTTCACCATAGCATCGTAAAGATGAAAATACGCACCTGTGTGTATAGTTCGAAACTTATTAAAATTTAACAGAAGACTATCACCGAAGAAAACCTTCCCTGAAGAAGAGATCCCTGTCTAATCTAGTAGTATACGAGTTGATACAGAAACAATCACAGCTTATGCAATCGTATAAAAACTTACACATTTTAAATTTGCATTATTCAACACGAAGACATGTGTGCTCAATTTGATCCATGCTTAACGTCGTTCCATTCGACGCAATAGGATCGGAGGACTTTTTCTTTGTGTTTGTACGATTTTTGTATCAATAACAATAATAAATTAGTGGAATATTTTCATAAAAAATATATTATGACTATCATGGTAGTAAAAACATCACGATCTGTCTACGCAGTTCAATGATTCGTATAGCGCATAATATTGCGTGGTCTTAATAATTGACATGTGATACATTTTTCTAATGCGTATTCCAGTGTGCTGCGTAAAATAGGATGATAATAATAATTTATGTCATAGAACGTCAATAATTTTTTATTCGGTTGGATATTATGAACATGGCTTTTATGAAAATATCTATATAAGTTGGTGGCTCTACATTTATCGTTTTAAAAGTTAACAAAATTGCAAAGATATAAATTCAAAGTCTTAGTGCTTAAATGCCAATGCCTGATTTAAATAACAGATGAAATAGACAATAAATAAATACACAGTGAAATAATTCTCACGAAGTATGCGGCGATGGAAGTGTCATTCGACAAAAAACTCGTTAAAAACCAAAACCAAAGATCTGCAAGAATTACATAAAAAAAATCGTAAGGTTTGTTGGTTCGTTACGTAGTTCAGTGCCTCTACCACGAGTTCACAGTAACAGATGTTGCTAACGACAGCGCCAAATATTTGCATACAAAATATTACTTCTTCTCGTGATCACTAGGGGCGATGTTCAATTTGCCAGACAAAATTGTCGTTAGAACATGTTACAAAATTACTAGCGACAACTATCTCTATAAGCTCATGGTAGAGGCACAGTTGGGAGAACGTCAGCCAGGGTGTGCTGAAGGCGTTAGTTCGAATTCAGCTGGACCGAAGGAATTTGTAAACTAACTTGTTTGTAATTTTGGCTCTTTTATATGACCATGTATCGTAAGAATAGTAAGTCATAAAATGCAGCTTTTGTTCTCTGAATAAGCATAAGTTACACTAGTGCAGACTAGACACGAAATTCGGTCCGAGACCAAAACCAATTCGAAATTATTTGTTTTTCGATCCTATAGGAAATTAAATCTGGGCACCCTCATCTCGTACAAAGATGCTTTTTCACCGGCGAGGCGAGATGAGGATTAAAATTTGTATGGCAAAATTTCAATTCTCTCATCTTCGGTGGAAATGGTCTGGATTGACGAGGATGAGCGAGGCGAGCATTGAAATATTTGTAAATGTAAATTATACTCTGCAATGGAAATACGATTTCTCACGGGAGCTCGCGATGGCTGTTAATATCAATCGCGAGATTGTGGGGTTCGTACGATTTTCGTCTCGCGTCGTCTCCTTGCATCAACACAAAAACCACCTTAACAGGGTTAGCACAACCGAACCAACTAAGTTCTTCAAAAATAAGGTAACACTACTCACCAGTACCAACACACTCTTCGCTAATGCAGGGCCGTGGGCTCCTGTACTCGGTAAGAACCAACACCGTGGTGTAAATGGCCAACGCGATTAATGACAACCCGAGCGCACCAATCATCACCGATGAACATCGTACTGTACGCTCTCTGAAAGAACACATATTCAATATTAGTACATTGTTTGGCATTGCTATTACCCTTGGATATTATTTTCAGTTAGGAAATATGACTTTTGAAAGTGTAGTTGTTCCTACTAAAATGAATGTGGAAATGAAAGTGGAGAACTTAATTTTATTACGTATATAATATTTAAGTGATTTTAAAAATAGAAAGACTTTGTTTTTCAACACAAAACATAAAACATTACGAAGAAAAGGTAAAAGCCTTAGCAATTTGCTAATTTTCAGGCTTCACCTGGTTCCTCGCTGCATATAAGGACGCGTATCTATAAATAGTATTATGTGTAAATGTAACATCTATCGTCCAAAGTTGTTCTGTATAACAAACATTAAAAACGAATGCATTTATAACATTAGTTAGATAATGTAATAACTTTAATATGTAATGGTGGGGGAATGTGACAAAACCACCATAGCTCAATAAACCTTTGTGTAAAATGGCTTTTCAATTAAGCCGTCAACGTTGCATAAATTAAAAAAATTACAAAATTTACAAATTTTTTTACGCATTAAATAATTACGTGGTATCATAAAAACTATAATCGTTTATTACAGCATATCACACAACTCATGCAAACAGTGTTAAGTATTTGCTAATCCACAAAATATCGCGTAATTCTCGCGTGGCAGTTCGTTATGGTATAGTAATCGGAAATTGCTTCCTTCACATTTGTATACTTTTATCATGTACAGTTATGACATAGTGTTATGAATTAATTACTTGCTCGTGTGATATCGTTGCGTAGGATCCTTTGTTATTCATTATCAACATTTATTGTTAGCCGACTTGACTGTCTCATGTTTTGGATATTAACAATTCTAATAATGGAAAAAAACTGTATATTGGATAAAGGTTCTGAAACTGATTAATGGCATTGTGAAGGCACAAACTCGTCTAGAGAACAATGACCTAGCTGCTAGTTATAGTTAATTATGTTAGTTATGGTTTGACCTACCGCCTACCGCGTAACCTACCGCCTATCGAGCAGAGGCCATGGATTTGAATCCGGGCTCGCACCTCTCTGAGTTTCTCGGAACTTATGTGCGAAATTTAATTCGAAATTTATCATGAGCTTTTTGTGATGAAACCTTCACGTCGAAGCTCTAACCCGCATTGGGTCAGAGTGGTGGACTATAGCCTAAACCATAGGTCTCCAAACATTTTGGCTCACCGCCCACTTAGGCAGGTTAAAAAAAATTTCAACGCCCACCACCACAAAAAATAATCGAAATCGCGTATTTTTTATATTAACTTAATACAAATAATGTCAAGGAAAAAAATTATATATATTACGTAGTATAGTTTATAATGATTATTCAGGGTTTTTTCAAATGCGGTAGCACCCTCTGAACAGCATCAACGCTTCCCAACTGCTTCCGAGGCATCTACCACCCCCCCTTAGGACTCTTCAGAGCCCATTGGGGGACGGTAGGGACCACTGGGAATGGAGATCCGTACCCAGCAGTGGGACGTATAAATGGGTTGGTGATGATGATACTTCTTCGGAGTTGAGATATATAATGTAAAACGCGCCATTATCCGCTTATGTCATACAACACAAGAGCCTTGCCAAGAATAACAAAAGCGATTTGAGTACAGCTACAAAGTCGCACAGACCTACATCCTGATGCAGATATCAAACTTCCGCTCCCCGCGGCGCATGCGCATAACAATTGCTTTTATATCTTGCGCGGAACCGCTTTTCTAGAGAAATGTTTACGTCATGCGCATGCGACAGTTGCGATTACTGTAGCTAAAGAAAGGAAGTAATAGGATTATGATAGGGTAGCTTTTGATCGATTGCCCAGCCTTAATTTACGTCTTAGAGTATTTCCTTTATACTGTATATTGACGTAATCAAATACGTTTTGACGAGAAATTTGAACTGAATTTTTGGCGTGTTTCTTAAAATGTGCCGTAATGAATTTTGCTAAACGTCGACTTAAATAAAATTACTATTAGCTTATCGCTTTAAAAACTGGTTCAACCTTTTTATTTATGTATGATACGATGTGGATTGCCATGTCATAGAAATTAATTGGTAAGAAACTAGAACTAGGTTTCACATGCCTATTAGAGAATTTTCTCTAATTAATAACTCACAGCCCCGCACTAGGGAAAGCCGTATCGCGAATGCCATGGACTCACACATAGACTACCACAAATTACATCCTAACTCACGAAAGAAAATGAAAATGTAGCCCATCTAAATATTTCTCCCGAACCTCTGCGTTGCAGTCCAGGATGGTAACCGTTCGGCCGCGGAGGTAGCAGAATTGTTTGTTGATTAAGACTTCATACATTCGTATTTTTAACCGACTTCAAAAAAGGAGGAGGTTCTCAATTCGACTGTATGTTTTTTTAACGTATGTTGCGCGATAATTCCGGTATTTGTGAACCGATTTTGATGATTCTTTTTTTGTTGAGAAGAGGGTACTTCAGTAGTCGTCCCATTTAAATTTGAAGAAAATATTCCACATTTAGGGTGGCAAACTAGGGAAATAAAAGTGGGTAAATAGATGTAATTCCACGAACTTTTGAGGTCGGTGTCTTTAGTACTCTGTACTGAGATTATAAATTTATAACTACTTAAAATTATATTCTATGTATACTATTCTTCGTATTATTATAGGAAAATTATTATTTCACCAATATTTCAAAATGTACAACATGACAAAATGACGATTTCCCAAAAGCGATATCATGTCATGGCTGACTGAAGTCACCGCTTGCGCATGCGCTTAAAAACCGCAATATTGTCACAAGTTCCTAAAAACGAGAGATAGCTATCAATGTAGTTGGTTAAGGTACCTTTACTGTACCGTAGACCACACAAGATCATGCACACTCACAGTGTTTTTATTCGCTAAGTAAGCTTATTGATTGATTTTTAGCAGTAGCGATGGACATGAGGTACACAAAAAGAGTATTGACTTTATTACAACGGAACGTTCGGGGGAGAATTTTGATAATAATCCAGCATAGCTTATAAATCAGCATCCAGTGCAGCTGCTGTAGGATTCCTTGTGGTCCACTTACTGTATCGATCCCTTAATTTCATTCTACAGCAACCATGTGGCTATATTATAATTTCCGAATAAGTACATATCTTCTAGGAACGGCGAGGAAGTCTACATGTGGCTTTATAATTTTGCGCATAATTGTAATTCCGCGTAACAATTTGATACATAATAATTACTCCGCCTTATCTTCAAACTACGCCATGGGCACATTTAGAGGAACGCTAAAAAGGTTGAATTATGAAAACAACGTTCACATGAACCACTGGCAATTTGTACCAGAACGTTTAATCGAAATAAAGAGACGACTGAAGTCATTCTTTTTTAAATTAAACATTCTCATACTATTTCTTATTTTCTCGTGGTTCATAGAATATTTTTTTAGTCTTTCTTAGGGTTCCTTTATGTCGTACCATAATGATTGTACAAAAACACGGGTATAAATGCGGTGCATTGTAATGGTTAATATATTCAGACCGTGTATCGCAGGTATTAGAAACCTAAATTGTCGGTTTGACATCTTGATGAAGTGGAATAACCATGACGCATCTTCAGAAGACCCAAGGAAAGCGGAAGGTATGACAATCGGTAAAAACCTGTGACTTAATTTTTGTTGCGTGAAAACAAAAGAAAGAAGTAAGGATATCCTTACAGCCGATGTTCCTGTTGCGATACAACGTAAGAGGTAAATGTTTACTTACACCTATTGTAACAATTTACGTAAGGCGTTTGAAGTAATTATTGTATATCTTCTATAATTGTTTTTGTTTCGTACTTTTAGTTGTTGTTGTGTTGTTCTTCCTCTTTAGAGGAGTCTTGCATTCTTGGACTTGTGTATGGTATTCGTATGATATATTAAAAAAATACTTAATGAGACTTTTATTACGGAACATAGCTATGATACTTAGTTATCTAAAAAGGAGAAATAAATAAAATAAAATCGGCTTTATTCAACACGCATAATACGCAATTTACAAACATTAAACAAAGAAGGAAAAATAAATAATTTAAGTTAAAATAATGATCCATGACTCATAATCTGAGAACTATGCAAATTACATATCCCTTGCTGTTGCCCGTCACACATTGGAACACCATAATCAAAATATACGTGTTTTTTTTCAACTGGGACTGTATGGGGAAATCCGAAACTAGAGGAGATACAAGAAAACTGTCTTAGGAATCAATTGTGAAAACAATTTTCGGCATAGTGAATTATTGGATCAAGCGCAAGTTGTTCATAAAAATGAATAAAATTTATTAATTTTTATAGTACTTTTCAACTCAGTTTCATGTAAGGATCATTTCATTGTATGGGACGAAAATATTAACAACAAATTTCATAAAGGGTTTTTTCATACTTAATGAAAAAAAAAGTACTAAAATCTATGTAATTCTGTACTAATTAAGGTTACTTAATAAATTGAATACTTTCTCGTTTGGATGAAGAAATAGTATTTATACTCCAATTTTTTTATAGTATTGTAATTACTTCCTTTATTTTTCTGTTATAAACTTAATGGTCGAGTGCTTTCGGCGCGAACTCGGCGTTGTATCTATTACAGTAAAATAATGCTGTTATTACGTGAAACTTGGTAATGATGACATTCAATGCTCGGTGCATTGTTGAATGCATTTCGTCATATCATGGCCTAGCCCAATACCCAACGACGTATAAAGTCAAATGCTCAATGCATTTGTCAGGAGCGGCTTGATCGATTGTTGTTACAAATTAAGTGTTTGATAGAATAAATTTCAAAAATAGATCGTCATTTGAGATTAGGATTGGGATAATTTATGGAGAAGAATTGAAAAACTGTTGACTGAATGCCTTTCACCTGGCTCAAATGCAACTTAGTCTTGTCAAATTATATTGAGTTCAGATTTTTATGTTTTTATGATATCAAGACGGGACGAACAAGTCATGCGCCTGGTAGTAAACGACAC